GAGTGAATCTGAGTCCAACTTTAATCTCTCCACGGTATTCTTTGTCCTGATTGACAACATTATATGCAGTTGGTGGAATGCTACCTTCAGTGAAAATGGGCTCTAATGAAATGCTGCAAACATCCATGGATAAGTTAGGCATGAAAGTATAAATTACACTCTTTTCACCAGAGAATATATCACAGGTTGAACTGTTAGAACTCAAAACCTAGTTTCTGAGGGCTGCAAATTACTTTCGAGTGACCGTATACAAATTAAAGGATCCAAAAAAAGAAAAATACTCACGTTGCTTCTCCAACAAAATCGTCTGCACTGAAATTATCCTTTTCCATTATTTTCAAATGAAGTTCGGAGACATCATCAGAGACTGTAAATACAAAGGTTTCATTCCATTCTGGTGCAGATCCTTGCCCTGCATGTACAATTTTGTTCTTAACACAATTCATTGACAACTGCAGGCACCAATTTAAGCCATTGTTCTTCCAAAAGTTGAACAATTTCTATTGCAGGGGAGATAAGATGAAGATGGCTAGAAGTAGAAATGTACCTGAGACCACATTGCTTTTCTTCTCTTGGGTCCTTAGAGTCAAAAGGACATAGGGATCCATGTCAGCTGCTCATAAAGCATTCAACCCATGTCACACATACATAATTAGCAAATTCAGAAACTTAAAGCAGAAAGATTAAAAAGTAGAACAGATTTATATCAAATTTTTTGTGGATCCAAATATCAATTCTGTTGACCCAAAAAACAATTTCCTGATCCAACTTAGCATGGTTATAAGTAAATCCAAGCACCCCCCATGTGAAAAGTAGATAGATCCTTTGTCCTTAACTTAAACTTACTATGGATCTATGCAAAAGTGACTCAGAACTTTCATTGATTCCTTGTTTTCGGTTAGTTAGTGCATCAAAGATTCAACTTTTGACCCACGCAAGTATATACATATTTATAGACACATGAGAAACCAGGTTCATCAAGCCTAGAAAAATCAGGCAAAAGCATTGATACAGATAACACAAAGCTAGCAAAGAGTCTAGATCCACAAAAGTGTGAAGCAGAAAGCAACCCAGAAATTATTTCTCATGTGCATGTGTTTTTACAGTTAGTATAGAAAACGATCAGCTGGCAGATCGAAGATCCTCAACAGACACACACAGAGAGAGAGAGAGAGAGAGAGAGAGAGAGAGAGAGAGAGAGAGTTACCCAGAAAATCATTGTTGTCGAGGCCTTTGGCATCAACAAGAAGAACTTCAAGCGTTCCCAGAGGCATGTTTGGATCGGATGAAAATTGAAATCCACAGAAAAGAGAGAGAACAGTCTACAAGTTTAAGTTGCAGTTTTCTGAGCTGAAACGACTTATGAAGAAGAATTCATTTGCCTGTCAACTATTTAAATAGCTTTCTTAGCATAGCAGTTACTAGTTACCAGTTACCAACATTCCGAAGCTGAACACGGGTTGACTTGTTCAGTCGGTTTCCATAATGTGGCATGTTATTTCAACTCTTCAACGTTAAAATAATTTCTGCTGTTTAGTTCTTAATTACACTCACAACATTGCTAATCACATCTTATATGAGCCTACTCAACCAAGACCTAGTCACCACTGTGTTGGAAAAGATTCTGAGATCAAATATGGAACTTAAAAGATGTAATCTTCGAACGGGGCCATGCAGTAAAGAGTATTTACAATTACACTCTTGACAAGAATTCAACTACCGTCTTTACGCTTATTCGAACAAAAAGAACATATAAAAATGTGATCGTTGAATACTTGAAAAAAATGAAAAGATTGATCCCACAACTAGAGGAGCTTTATGGAGTAATGAGGTTTCCCTGGGTTTGATGGAAACTTTTTTCAATCGAATTTTATTGTTGGCTTTGATTGTTGAACTGAAGTTGAAGGAAATAGGCAGGCCATTTTGACCCAATGGTAACATGCATAACAAGTTATTATATTATGGATTTTCGTCCCAAAAAAAAAAAAATTATATTATGGATGATTTTGGTGTATGCTAATTAAAAACTTGCTTGTTAAGAATTGTGTTGAGTGAACAAAAAACACTCAAAAGCACATGCCAGGTGTTTACATTGGATCGAATTTGGGTAGCAACAAACCGACATTATTGTGATTATGCTCCTAATCATGGAGATTAAGTGTAATGATTAGGGAGGGTAAAAGCAGAGATGAAAGCAATCACCATTAATATAAAAAATTGACTGGTTATTTCAGTCTAATTAATATAAAAAACAAGTTGAGCCACAAAAGCACACCAAAAGGAAACCTCCCACATGACTGAAGCTCCTTCTCTTTTCTCAAGCCAACACCAGGCAGCTAAATGAACATCATACATTACACTGTAAATCACAAGGTTATTCCTGGTAAGATGGTTCTTCCAATCCAAACTAGCCCTACTCCTCTGCGTAAGATGATTGTTTCCATCCACCGTAGCCCTCCTCGGAACCACCATATTCCCCAGATGGACCGTCGTTTTGCTGCAATAACGAATGCAGTCAGAGTAAAGACACTAACAATGTAGGTGCAAAAAATTGCTTTAGCAGTGATGTTCAACACAACAATCATAAAATAGAACATTGACTAAAAACTTAAAGTTTTGAAAAAGGAAAAAAAAATAAAATTGAAAGCACCTCAGGCTCAGGAGTGAATCTGAGTCCAACTTTAATCTCTCCACGGTATTCCTTGTCCTGATTGACAACATTGTATGGAGTTGGTGGGATGCCACCTTCAGTGAACACTGGCTCTAATGAAATACTGCATGCAGCCATGGATAAGTTAGACATGAAACTACAAATTAACTCTTTTCACCGGAGAATGTATCACAGATTATTGAACTGCCAAAACCCAAAACCTATTTTCTGAGGGCTGCAAATTGCTTTCCAGTGACCGAAAAAACGAAAAAAATACTCACGTTGCTTCTCCAACAAAATCATCTGCGCTGAAATTATCCTTATCCATTATTTTCAAATGAAGTTCGGAGACATCGTCAGAGACTGTAAATACAAAGGTTTCATTCCATTCTGGTGCAGATCCTTGCCCTGCATGTACAATTTTGTTCTTAACACAATTCATTGAAAACTGCAGGCACCAATTTAAGCCATTGTTCTTCCAAAAGTTAAACAATTTCTACTGCAGGATGGATGTGCACAAAAGATGAAGATGGCTAGAAGTAGAAATGTACCTGAGACCACATTGCTTTTCTTCTCTTGGGTCCTTAGAGTCAAAAGGACATAGGGATCCATGTCAGCTGCTCATAAAGCATTCAACCCATGTCACACATACATAATTAGCAAATTCAGAAACTTAAAGCAGAAAGATCAAAAAGTATAACAGATTTATATCAAATTCTTTGTGGATCCAAATATGTTGACCCAAAAAAAGTATCAATAAAAATCCTGATTTAGCTTAGCATGGTTATAGATAAGTAAACCCAAGCACCCACATGTCAAAAGTAGATAGATCTTTTCTCCTTGACTTAAATTTGCTATGGATCTATGCAAAAGTGAATGAGAACTTTCATTGATTCTTTTGTTTTTGGTTAGTGCATCAAAGATTCAACTTTTTACCCACACAAATACACACACACACACACACACACATATATATATACACACATACATGAGAAAACAGGGTCATCAAGCTTATAAAAGTCAGGCAAAAGCATTCGTTCAGATAAGACGAAGCTAGCAAAGAATTGAGATCCATAAGCAACCCAAAAATTATTTCTCTTGCATATGTGTTTCTACAAATAATACAGAAAATGATCAGCTGGCAGGTCGAAGATCCTTAACACAGACACAGAGGGAGAGAGATAGTTACCCAGAAAATCATTGTTGTCAAGGCCTTTGGCATCAACAAGAATAACTTCAAGCGTTCCCAGAGGCATGTTTGGATCGGTTGAAAATTGAAATCCAAAGCAGGAGAGAGAGGGAAGAGGGAGCAGTCTACAAGTTAAGTTGCAGTTTTCTGAGCTGGAAACGACTTATGAATTCATTTGCCTGTCAACTATTTAAATAGCTTTCTTAGCAGTTACTAGTTACTAGTTACAGTTACCAGTTTTTTTTCTTTCCAAGTTACAGTTACCAGTTGACTTGTTCAATTCTGTTTCCGTAATGTGGCATGTTATTTTCAACTTTTAATCCCCTCAACGTTAAATTAATTTCCGCTGTTTAGATCTTAATTACACTCACAACATTTTGTAATCTCTATCTATCACATCTTATGTGGCAAGTAAACCAACACGTAGTCACCACTTAGTTGAAAAATATTTCGAGTTCAAATTCTATTAAAAAAAGAAAAATATGTAACTCAATGTAATTTTTGAGCGGTGCCTTATAGTTTATGCAGTAAGAGTACTTACACTTACGATAAGAATTCAACTATTGTATTCACGATTCTTTGAATAAAAAGACCATACAGAAATTTGACTGTTAAATAATTACAACCCAAAAAAAAAAAAAAGATGAAGAAGTAGAGATCGATTCCAAAACTAGAGGAGTTTCTTCAATTGAATTTTAATGTTGGCTTTGATTGTTAAACTGAAGTTGAAGGAAATAGGCAGGCCATTTTGACCCAATGGTAACATGCATAACAAGTTATTATATTATGGATGACTAAATGGGTGCTGAAAACTTATTTGTTAAGAATTGTGTTGAGTAAAGAAAAAACACTCAAAAGCGCATGCCAGGTGTTTACATTGAATCGAATTTGGGTAGCAACAAACCGAAATTAGTGTGATTAGATGCTCTTAATCATGGAAATTAGGTATAATGAGGAGAGAGGGTAAAAGCGAAGATGAAAGCAATCACTATTAAGTAAAGTTGACTGGTTATTTCAGTCTAATAAAAAACAAGTAGAGCCACAAAAAGTAGAACTGAAAAGGAACCCTTCAACATGGCTAGCAAAGCTCTTTATTCTTTTTACCCAAGTTAATACCATGCAGCTAATTAAGTAATCAATAATACATTATTACACTCTTAATCATCCTCGGTGAGAAGATTCATTCCATCCGCCATAGCTTTCCTCCGCTTCCGATGATTCTTTCCGTCCACCACCACCACCATAGCCCCTGCCACGTCCACTACCATAGCCGCTGCCGCCACCATCACCATAGCCGTCACCGCCACCACCACCATAACCATCGCCACCACCACCACCATAGCCGCTCCCACGTCCACCACCATAACTGCCACTGCCACCACCATAGCCGCTCCCACGTCCACCACCATAACTGCCACTGCCACCACCATAGCCGCTCCCACGTCCACCACCATAACTGCCACTGCCACCACCATAGCCGCTCCCACGTCCACCACCATAACTGCCACTGCCACCACCATAGCCGCTCCCACGTCCACCACCATAACTGCCACTGCCACCACCATAGCCGCTCCCACGTCCACCACCATAACTGCCACTGCCACCACCATAGCCACCGCTGCCGCCACCACCATAGGCGGCGCCGCCACCACCACCATAGCTTTCCTCTCCTTTATGTGATGATCCCTTCCTTCCACCACAGCTCTCCGAGCCACCGCCGTAGTCTCCAGAACCATGGCTGCCTCCCTGCAATAAACAAAACACATTTATGAAAATGTTAAAGCTATGAAAAGATTGAAAGCAAATGACCAAAAAGTGGAGCAAAGGAGCAGTGAACTTTTGATTGATGAGTAACAATATCTACCTCAGGAGTGAAAGTGAGGCCAACTTTAATCTCTCCGTGATATTCCTTTTCTTGATTGACAACATTGTATGGAGTTGGTGGAAGGTTGCCTTCAATGAAAACAGCCTCTAAAGGAACGCTGCATGCGACCATATATAGATAAGTTAGAGTAGCTATTAAGTATTAGAATGTGAGCACCCAAATCAAAATCAACCATCAATAAGTTGGGAGGTCCGTGATTGAATGTGTCATCTGTCAATAACCCGTACCCAAATTTCGTAACGCGTAAATACACATTTGTTACTAGGAATTTTTTTAGCACTAATCTAGGTTGTTTGATATATAAAACCATATAGCCCAGTTCAGTTGGGTCACTTCTTCTAATAGCTTGAGTTTTGAATAACCAAACAGGGCTCGCCTTGCTGCAGACTCTTTTGAGAAACCTTATACAAATTAAAGGACAAAAAGAAAAGAACTCACGTTGCTTCCCCAACAAAATCATCTGAACTGAAGCTATCTTTGTCCATTATTTTCAAACGAAGTTCATCAACATCGTCGGAGACGTTGAATGAAAAGGTTTCATTCCATTCTGGTTCAGATCCTTGCCCTGCATTGCATGTACAACATTTTCAATTACAACACAATTGTTTGAAAACCAATTTAACCCAAAATTAAGTAGAAACAAATGCATGGAATTATAAATAAGAAAGACATGGCTAGCTGAAAAGAAACTGTACCTGAGACGATAGTGCTTTTCTTGTCTTGGGTCCTTACAGTTAAAATGACATAGGGATCCATGTCAGCTGCCCATGAAAAGCATTCAATTCAACCCATGATGCAGACATATATATAATCAAACATCATATTATATCAAACTATTTACAGACAATGCCTAACCCCACCAAACACATATATAATATATGATTGTTTACACTGCTTACAAAATGTGACAGTGACAGAAAAAGGCCTAGCTGTAATTGAAAATTGAGAAAAATAAAAAAAGGAAATCAGCTAACTAGAAGAAGAGTACTAAAAACAATCATAAGGAAGTAAAAACAACTGATGATGTCAGTAGATGATCATGTCCTTTGTTATTCACACAAACTTCAAATTATGGGGATTTGTTCTGAAATCCATGGTTATGTTTTATACATGTTTCAAAGGGCGTCATCGCTAATCCAGGCTTGCGAATAGCTCCGCCCCAGCCTGGATTAATTACAAGATAATTGAAGCCAAATACCAACATATATATATATATATATATATATATATATCAAAAAATAAAATAAAACCAATTTGATGACATAAACAATAGTGATGACGAAAAACAGGACCGGGGAAAAAATAGATAGATACTTTATACATCACTTGAAATTACTGACGATCAATGAAGAGGGATTGTTTTGCTGGTACTGATCAATCAAAGATCCAACATTTTACAATCAGAAACATATGTATGGCATGAGAAAACATGTTCATGAAAACCCAGAAAAAATAATAATCATGTAACAGCTAACTAGGCATTAAGATATATATACACAAAGCAAATTAAGAATTCAGATTTGAGATCGAGCAGAAAGCAACAATGCAATGCAACCCAGAAATCATTTCTCATGTATCAATTAATATAAGAACAATATTGGCCTTCATAGATTAAATTAATAATATTATTGATCCAATAATGTTCATATAAAACACACACATGGAGAGAGAGAGAGAGATGTATATATAGAGTTACCGAGAAAATCATTGTTGTCGAGGCCTTTGGCACTGACAAGAAGGACTTCGAGCGTTCCGTGAGGCATGTTTGGATTGGAAGAAACTATGAACACAACACAGACATAAAGAGAGAGGGAGAGAGAGAGAGAGAGAGAGAGAGAATGATAGAAGAAGGAGAAGGTACAAAGTCTAGGACGTTTTTTATTGCATATAAAGACTAATTACGATACGACAGGTTCATGATGTTGGGTTCCATAATACGACATGTCGTCGTTTTCAACTCTTAGTCCCGCCATAAAACGTGGTGAGAAGACGCGTATTCGTTTCTCATTTATTATTCTGGCATGTACAGAGCACGATCAAAATCTGTTAATTTAGGAAAACAACTAATTGCTAACGCGTTGCTATAAGTTTGTACTTTTTACTATTTTTGCAAATGCCAGATAATTTGTTGCTAATTGCAGATTTGTTCCATTTTGGCACATCTTTGGTTTAATCTATAATCAAAGAAAAGTGCCAACGGGTCTAATCCAATGAAAAAGGGCATTGACTTATAGACTTTAGAATCTCTACGGCATCATAGTTGTGTGAGTGTAAGAAATCCCCCTCCATTGTACTTTAGACTATCGCTTGTACTAAAAAAACAAATCAAAGAAAAGTGTGAAAAATCTCTCTTATAAAAGAATGAAAAATATGTCATTTACAATGTTGATGCCGAAATTTAATCGATAATAATTAAGACCGTAATAACATAAATTTGGCGTAAGTGGGCTCTTCACTTTGGACTTGTATGTGGGGCGCGATGAGGCCCAACACACAAACAACTAAAACAGGTCTTTGAATACAAAATCTTTAACTAACACTGATGATCAAATTTCTTTTCTGAACTCATTTTTATATCTTGCCATCAGATTTGAATTTAGAACTTTCTTTAACAAGTTTATGCTGATTAAGTTAACCCCTTGTTAAATGAAAGTTTCAATACATGTGTTACCCTGATATTGAAAAGACAGCTAAGGAAAGGAGGACTAACTGAAATTAAAACCATCAAATTTGATTTGCGCTCTCTCACCAACTAATATCCAACTATTTTCATCCTTCCTCACTAATCTTTTTCATCACGTAATCTTAGTTTGAAAGTGCATTTGGTGGGGCAAGCAACTTGATTTTTAAAAAATCATTGTTGGGAGAGCCTGAAATAAGGTCGCATGCATATACGCATGAATTTTAGAGTGCAAATAACATCTCCCGTACGAAAACAAGTAAATTTAACTGTATTTGAGTCCACTAAATATGTTGAGGCACAAAAATATCAGTCTAATAACTGGATTACACAGAAAGGGAAACTCAAACAGGACTGATGCTCTTTATTCCAACGCCAAGCAGCTAAATGAGCATCATACATTTCATTGCAAATCACAAGGCCATTCCTAGAAAGATGATTCTTTCCATCCACCATAGTTCTCCTCAGCAGCATAGTCTCTGGAACGAAAGCTGTTTCTCTGCAACAACAGATTAATAGATCGATTGATTCACAGGCACTAAAAATGTAGTGTAACATTGTGTCAATTGTGATGTTCAACACAGCCACCAACAACCACACAATAGAATGCTGACTCCTGACTACAAACACTCTAATCCAATCAAGAATAAAAGTTCTGTTAAAGTTTGATAGGTAAAATATAAAATACCTCAGGCTCGGGAGTGAATGTGAGTCCAATTTTGATCCCTCCGTGATAATCTCGGTCCTTGTTGACAACATTGTACATAGTTGGTGGAAGGCTTCCTTCAGCGAACAATGGCTCTAAAGGAATGCTGCACGCCACCATAGATAAATCACACATCTAATTAGAACACATTTGACTTAATTTAACCAGAGAGAACACTAGAACAACGTCGAAATAACTTTTAAGTGACCTTATACAGATGAAATCACAAAGACAAATTAGTACTCACGTTGCTTCCCCAACAAAGTCGTCTGCAGTAAAGGTATCTTTGTCCATTATTTTCAAACGAAGCTCCGAAACATCCTCCGAGACTGTGAACAAAAAGCTTTCATTCCATTCTGCTTCATTTCCTTGCCCTGCATGTACAATGTTTCTATAACAAAGTTCATTCAAACTGCACGCACGCAACTTAACACATATAGTTCATGACTAGAACACTGTTACCTTTAGCCACATTGCTTTTCTTCTCCTGGGTCTTCACAGTGAAAACGACATAGGGATCAATTTTAGCTGCCACAAAGCAGTCAACCCATGACATACATGACTCATGAGCATATTCAGAAATCTAATGCAGATAAATTTTAAAAGTGAATATCGTGTTTATAGTGAATTGTATCAATAGACGAAGCGCAGCTTACAGAATCTTGATCACAGTTAAACTGGCTTTTTTGAAAGTGTATTATATTCATCCCAACAAGAAAAAAAAAGTATATACTCTTCCTGAGTCTGCCAAACACCTACATACGTTTTTTATATTGATCCCAGAAAAATTGACTCACCGGCCCCTATAGTCAAAAACTACTAGAACAGAACTTGTAAACATTATAAGGAAGAAAAATACAATTAATAATGAGGAAATGATGATCAGATGGACTGCTATACGCCATCAAGATCATGTCTTTTTTTTAAAAGAAAATTGATACCAACAGTGGCCGGATATTAATTAAACCCAAAATACCCACATATCAAAAAACAAAAACAAAAATGAATTAGACACAAAGATCATATGGGTTGAGGAAAAACACCAGTGAAAAATTAGATCTTTTCTACATCATTTATAATTTCACTGTGGATCAATGAAAAGGGTTTATGCAAAATTCATCAATTCTTTACTTTTGGGGGTACTCATCAAAGATTCAACTTGATTTTTACACTCACAAAATGCAGAAACGAAAAAACATGGTCATCATCAAGCCTTGAAATTGACAACATTGAGCTCAGCTGATATAAGAAGTAAAGAATTCAGATCTACAGATGGTAAATCAGAAAACAACCAAGCAACCCAAAATTCATATTTCATGACACACATAAAATTACCAACAGAAATTAATGTGACGAATTCAAGATTCATAACATATAAATACAGGGGAAGAGAGAAAAAGTTACCGAGAAAATCAGTGTTCTTGAGGCCTTTGGCTTCAACGAGAAGGACTTCAAGCGTTCCCAGAGGCATGTTTGGTTTGGAATGTGGACGAAATTCAATTCACAGGAAGAGTCTGAGGCAGAAGAAGAGGAAAAGATGGAGTGAGTGAGCTAACCAGAGCAGTGCACGACTGGTGCAGTTTTGTAAGAAGTTGATGCGACAATCGGACGACAATTTCTGACTTGCTATATTAAATAGTAAGTATTTTCTTACCACTTTTACCAAAAGCCCCCGGCTGAATTGAAGTTGACGGGGCTTGTAATTGCAGATTTCTACTATACGACATGTCACTTTCATTTCTTACCTTTATGTCAATTTGAGTTGGCGATGATTTGGTTGGATTGGAACTGCATTACAAATCAATCTTTATGTGTGGCGACAACACTGATGGATCATGAATCATTATCACTTGGGTTCACCTACTCTCTATATATCTATTTCTTTTTGTTATTCATGGCATGTATCTAACTCAAATTATTCCATATCCTGCCATATAAGATACACTGTAAAAAGCTTTAATATATATAACATTTTGCGTCATAATAAAGAAAGGATCATAGACACTTAGGTCAAATATGAACCTTGTAGTATCATTGTGTGAATCTTAAGATATCTATGTGTGAATTTTACCTTATTATATTTGAATGAATTTTTGAGCATGTCACGTGACATTAAGGTATTGTCGTGTGACCTATCTAAATACTTAACGATAGAACTACCACACACAAAAATCACTATTTTTTAATGAATGAAAACCCTTTTATAGGGTAGGAGAGAAGTACTGCAAAACGAGCAGCTACTTGGTGATTAAAACCTATTTATATTTGAAGCAAGCAAAACTTGCTACCAAACTAATTAAGGGTTGTTCCAATATAGGCCCTTGCAACTACTATATCCTAGACACATACCCAACTACTCTTAAATCTTTACTTAAAATCCAAATTTAAAATAGGATAAGATAGATTTGTCCTAGTATTATTAACTAAATTACAATACATGTCATTTACCTTCATTTTTTTTTCAATTATATCGATAACTGCCTTAATTATAATTAATTCACCTTATTTTTAATAGTATATCAACCACCTCATTTATTTTGGTGGCACTACTCCCTCTAACCTATCGGCAATTTCTTAAAAAAAATTGTACAAAAAAAAAACCCCCCTAAATTACTATATCCAATAAATAATGTACCTATAAAAATAATATAAATATCAATATTTTCTTTATGGAAAATATAGGTACATTATTTAGAAAAAGAAAAAAGAAAAAAGTAGGTACATTATTTAGAGAAAAAGTAAGTACATTATTTAGAGAAAAAATAGGTACATTGTTTTTTGTAAAAGCAGTAATAGATACGTTATTTTATCAACATGAAATTGTATGTACGCTATTATATTTATGAAATAATAATATAATAGATAATTAATCACTTATAATTCATAAATAAATAAATAAACATTTTTGTACTAAATAAACCAATTAGGTATGTTAAATCCGAATTTATTGTTAAATTTTATAAAAAATTTCAAATTAATTCCTATATTAATATACAAAATGCAATAATGATTTAATTAGGGGTATTTTAGGAATAAAAAAAGTACGGTAAATTAGATTTTGCACTTGATTAGATAACTTGCGCTTTATTACTAAACTAATTAACATGTTGATTCAGATTCACATTTGGGCTTGAGTTAAGAAGCCGTGAAAATTTGGACCGTCAGGTTTTGGCCCAATAGAAAAAAAAAATTGAGAACCGACTTATAGGAGTTTCCTTTAAAGTCCACCACTTGAATTGAAGGCCTTTTACAAAGAGTTCATAGAAGAACCACGGAAAGTTTTTAAACATGTCATAAATTACAGTGCTGTTTGGATTGGACTCTACCCTCTGTGATCCTACCCTCTCACTTTCTCTCACTTTCCCGCGAATTTTCTCTCTCTAACTCTGTCTCTCTCTCTCTGAGAAACCGAAGCTTTCACGTCAACCATCAATGGCTTTCTCCAAACCCATCACCCCTTCTGATCCCACTCTCTCCCATTAAAGCACAAACTCATATTTAATTGTTTTTTCCCCCATTTTTAGCATTGCTTTTAGCCGTTACAGTGCTTTCACAAATCATGAAAGCGTTTTCATAAAAACAAACTCTTTTTGGGTTCTTTCAGAACTTAACGTTTCCGTTGATTTTGCTTTTGATCCTTTGTTTTCTTCACTGTATCCTAATGTTTGAGCCTTGACCCTTAAATACTAAAAGTCAGTGTCTTTCAAATCCTTTATTGTATTTATTTATTTCCTGTAATTCTATCAGGTGGGTTTGGGTTTTTTATATGTGTGGGACTTGCAGTTCGTGCTTGGAATTGAAAGCTTCATTAAAGAAGTTGGTATCCAATAGAATTTGGGTTTTGAGAGAGAAGAAAAATCATGGTACAAGTCAAAGAATTTGATGGTAATCTGAAAGAGGAGGGTCTGGTTTCTCTGAGCCCTTCAGTATCTGGTAGCACTTGCGATAATGCAGTTCTCAATCTAGCCTCTTTGCAAGGGTTTGTACTTTCTTTTCGTCTTTGCATTGTGCATAAGTGAACTCTAGCTATGTTTGTAAACATTGTATTATAATTATCCTTTTACAGATAATAGTGTGGTTGTGAATTCTCATAGTTCAGTGATGCAAATTGTATGCCTTTCTGTTTGCGAGAATTCTTGAGGGAAATAAAATGATGTTGATTTTAATTTTTGGTTTTTCGTTACGATGAGGAACTCAGCCTGTCCAAGCTGAATAGATGTATGTTCCTTTATTATTGCTATCTTCTTGTGGAACATAGAAGCTGCTGAAAACAATTATGCATTACCGTATTTGTTTTGTTATAGAATTTATGAATTTTGAATATTTATGTTATGACATGGCATGACCTAGAAGTTATTAACTTTGTGTGCGTATTTAGGAGAATGGCTGGTCCTATAAGACGATCAACAAAGGGCGGCTGGACAGAGGAGGAGGTCAGTAGAGGATGTTGTATGGTTTATTTGAATAGTTACGAGTGCTATTTGTAGCTTCTTAGAAAGATAAGTGAATAGGAAATATAAAGATGGCCCTTTTGTGTTTATTGGTAGTTGTACCATTCAGTTCTGAGTGATTTAAGCTGAGTACAGAAAGTTTGTACATGTAGGACTTCTAGCTTTGTGTGTGTTGGGGAAAGAAGATGTCGTGTATTCTAATAATTGTTACATTTTGGCGCTTATTTTGGTTTGTGCTTGAGAAACTTTAGGTTATGTTAGTATAGTTAATTTTTGATTGCTTGACATTCAAGTTTCTATATCAAATAATGAATGTATGCCTCTTGATGTCTTGTTTACAGGATAAAATTTTAGCCCATGCTGTCCAAAAGTTCAATGGCAGAAACTGGAAAAAGATTGGTGTGTATCTGATATGACTTTATTCTTTTTCATATCTTTATGAGTTTTGTTTTGTTTTTCAGCTTCAATTGCTTTTCATTAAATTTTTTGAACTAAAAGACTTCTTAGATACTGTGAAACAAAGCTCCATCACTTTTTTCTTAAGTTGGTTTTGTTTGAGCTTTGGAGGAAGATGTATAGGATACCAATATTAAATTTCTAATGACCTCACTCTCCCTCTACTTGTGTGTGTGTATATCACTCTCCATCTCTCTTCAAACGTTGGTTTGACAAACTTGAAGATTCTTTGCAGCTGAATGTGTTCCTGACAGAACAGATGTTCAGTGCCTTCATCGCTGGCAGAAAGTTCTCAATCCTGATCTTGTTAAAGGATTTTGGTCCAAGGAGGTGAATTAATATTGCATTAGTTCTCTTTAAACTTCTAATGATGCTCGTAATATATGGTTGTGACTTATTTTTGTTGGAACTTCCAGGAAGATGATCTAATAATTGAGCTGGTCGCGAAGCAGGGCAACAAGAAATGGTCTGAAATAGCAAAGTCCTTGCCAGGTCGCATAGGCAAGCAATGTCGAGAGAGGTACTCGATGACTTATTGAAATTCAGTCAATACATATTACTAGTCCCTTCTCTGTTCTTATTTATATTTGTATAGGCAAGCAATGTTGAGAGAGACTTATTGAACTTCAGTGAATACAACTAGTCCCTTATCTTTTCTCTTTTATAATTTTTTTTTTTGTGGTTAACTAATCTCTGATTTGTCATTTATTTACTTTTTAGGTTAATTCACTGATGTGATGTGTCTTTGTAGGAAACCCCTTTTTCATTTCGTTTCTTCTGCAAACTTTAGAAAGACTACATGTATAGACTGAAGCTTGCGATTGATTTTTGGTTCAGGTGGCACAACCATTTAAATCCAGATATAAAAAGAACTGCATGGACCAAAGAAGAGGAACTGACTCTTATTGAGGCCCATAAGATTTATGGGAACAAGTGGGCTGAAATAGCAAAGTTTCTTAATGGAAGGTAGAAAATTTTACTTAGCAGATTATAACTAAGGAAAGTTTCACTTTTCTTTATCAAAATGAGAAATTAAACAGCTGATAAATTATTCCCTTAGATGGCAAGGTGTTTTGATATTCTCTTTTATAGATATTTTCCTGGTAATTCTAATTGGCCAATCACATACATGTTAAGTTTGGTGCACGTGCCCTGCGATTTTCTGAGAATCATTACTAATTGCTTTGTAGGGTGTTCCTCCATAGATGCAGTATTTACTGTTTGGAGAGAGCATGTCCTCGTGCAGTTTACGAACTTTTACAGTTGTTTGTTTCATTATGTGCTTGCAAATCTAATGGAGAGTTGACATGTTGATGAATGCAGTCAAGTATAGATTCTCATACTTGGTAAACACACGATATGTCAGACCTGATAACTTTAAGAAGAAACTGGCATCGTTATATTCAGTTTGGAATATCTTTCTGTTAACTAGTTGAAGTAGATAGAGTAATAGAGAGTAATTCAGTTTTTCTCCTTTTGGGCTATGAAGGAACTTCTTTTGATGTGCAGGAGCGAAAATTCAATTAAAAACCATTGGAACTCCTCAGTGAAGAAGAAGTTAGAACTCCGTTCGTCTCATACTTCTGATATGGGCTCTCAAAATATAAAATCAGAAAGCAGAAAGCGTGAGGTGGTAAAGCAAGGTCTTGATCAGAAAGCTAACATGGAAAGAAATGTGGAACCCTGTTCACTGGACCTGAATCTCGTTCTCGGAACTGCAAATAGAAGGGAAAGCCAAATGCAATCTTCTGACAAAGGAAGTTGTGGGTGGCTTACAAAAAGGGCAGCTACAAACAAAATGATGAAAACACCACCTAGAACCGTATTTTACGACAGAGCTGCAGCTGCATGTGGTCTAAATATTGAACAATGCCAAGAAACTTCTAGTAACTGTGGCAGACTGAGGGACTCTCATAATTTGACTGCTAATAATCATTACAACAATATTTGCAATACTGCTCCTGATTATCTGGGTTTCCCATTTTCACATAGGCGGAACCATAAACCCAGTGATCCTATCTATTTGTTGCCTTCCAGACCACTTCCTAGACCACCACAAGCCTCTTTAAATGCTGGCTTAGGTGTTCCTGGTTGTAAGAAAACAGCTGGTTATTTTATCAACAAACCAGTTCTCCCAGTTACTGCTCAGGGATTGTATGAATCCTCTAGTGGACCACAAGGTAATGTATGTTAGATTAATTATATGGGAGGATGTATTCAAGATTAAAGGTCAATCTAACAATTTGATTGTGTTAATGAAGCTTATGAGAAAAAGAAAGATGGTGGAGCTCCTGTGAATTCAAAGAATTCAAGCCATGGTCGCTTGTGCTACAGGCCATTCCAACTCGAGGATGTGGAATTTTATTTGGAAAACGGTGAATTCCCAAGTACAGATAGTTACATCCAGACAGAATGTAGTTCAGTTTCCTTTTGCACTCCAACAAGCCACGATACAAGAATTTTTGTTGATTGTAACAGTCCAGATTCCACATTGAGAAGTGCAGCGAGGACGTTTGAGAAATCTCCATCTATCATAAGAAAACGACGGCATTCAGTTTCCAGAAAAAGTGTCAATGCAGTAAATCATGGTGACAGTGTTTGCTCAAAAGAAATTAGCAATAACTTCAGAAACAGCCCCCACTTGCTAGGTCTAAGTCCATGTGGTAAAACTAATTCCAGTAGCATGGTTCATTCAAACCTCAAACAACATTTTATTTCTCCTCCACAGTCTCAGAAGTTTGGGGATTCTGCTGTCATGAAGTCTGTAGAAAAACGCTTGGAACATGCATTTGATGTTGAATGGGATTCGGCTAGCACCGTATCTAGGACCTTATCTCCATGAAGAGTGTCTTATCAGAATATTTTGTGCTCCATCATCAGACAGCCTTTAACTTCATGATATAAGTTCAGTGAGTATCACTTCTGCCAACTGTTTACATGGTATACGCTTTCAAACGTCTTAAACAAATAAAAAGAAATTGTATTTTTCAGCACTACTAAAGCTAGTTTCCTTGGGTGTGTAGGAACATGTCATGTTGGATTCGAAATGGGGTAAAATTGCAAAGAGCAGTCGTTTAGCATATGCATGCAGTTTTCTAGAGAGCGATGCTGTTAATTAGATAGGTAGGTTCAGTTTTCGTGTTTGTAAGGAGGCATTGCTTAGATCTTAATTGTTACAGAAAACAGTAACAAGTAGATTACGATACTATATGGAACATGCCAGTTGATCCAGGAAGTTGCACAGTATCAATTTGTCTTTTAAGGACAGCAATTAACTCATCTTTGGCTTCATTTGGTTTGAAGGAGAGGTAGATGAGGAGATGACTTTAAAACCCTTTTGCTGGCTCCTTGTTCTTTTTCCTTCTATAGATTTTCATTGGTATAAATTGCGAATGTGATTGAATTTGAGTATCTGCACATGCTGCTTTGCAGTTGTATGAACTTCTATGCATCGAAATTGCAAGACTATTTAACTCTATTTTTATCTTTGATCTTTAAATTAGCTTTATCCTTTTCCTTTCTGCCCTAACTTCCTCATTTTCACTGTCTTGCAGATCAATCATCATTTTGCAGCCAACTATTTGACAGCACAAGTGCCCCTTCCACAATGGAGGACGTGAATTATAAATATACCACATTCTCTTTTAATGACTGACGTTAAAAATATGTGCATAGTGGCCACTAGGTCAAGGTTTTGGGGAACAGTGAAGCTAATTAGCCCAATTAAAAATGCTGATATTTTTATTATATGTCAACATAAAGCATTTTTCTTTTGTTTTACTCTGGTAATTGTTGCACTTGGCTTAATGTTATGACTTGGCTGGTTCATGTGTGCAAAGAGTGAAGTTGAGCCTGATATCTTTCACTTTTTGCAAATTTGTAGACCTCAACATCTACAAGAACATATAAGCGAAGTTTAAATTAGGGAGCTGATTTTCTCACTCCTCTTTTATCCACATACACTCCCTTTATTATAAATTGTATGTTCCCACTCCTTTTTTGTCTACTTACACTCCCTTTTTTGTTATAGTAAAAACTATTAAAAAAACAAAATGGAGTGTAAGTGAACAAAAGGAGAGTGGGAAAATCACCATCCTTAAATTAAAGCTTTTGTTGCCTTTTGCTTCATACAAAATTTGATTCTGAAAAAGTCTTGGAATTGCCCAAGTAGTGAGGGAGAGTAGGAAAATAAGCTACAACTAGAATCGATAAATTTTTCCTAATATAACAAAAAATAAAACAAAATTGGGTTTGAAATAAATACATATGCTTATTCTAACATTGTTGAACTCCCAACCCAAAACTAAAGTTTTATATTCTTGTTCAAGAAAGAAAAAATATAAGACTCAAACTTTAACTGTATGTACGGATACGAGTATTCTACCATTAAAATGGCAAGAAATTTTTTAAAAAAATCAATTACAGATTCTAATTAGAAATTTGGTTTGAGATTCTTTTGTCTCCTACAATAATCACCGTCAATTCTTCCTGTCATGAAAATAAGAAGCCAAAAAGACAACAACAAAAAAAAAAAAAAAAACCCTTTGACCACATAAGAACGAATAAATAAATAAATAAATATATTAAAACAGTTTGTTCCACAGAGAAAGGAACAAGAGTGTTAGAGATATTTAGCGCGTGACACATACGGCATAGCCGCCTTTGATTTTGAGACGTTAAAGAAGAAGACAAAGATGGCCAAACCCTCCATTGATATCTCAGAGAGCTTCGCTTCCACAGCTAAAATTTCAGGGGACATTTCTCAGAAAGAAGTAAACAATTTGCTGCTTTTTCTCATAGGCGTGGGGGTCTCAGGCCATGTCCCAGATCAATTCGATGCTAAAAAGGATTCCTACTCTGACCTCGTTCGTGACCTCCTCAAGCCCCTACACATCTCACGCGGCCATGTCACCTGCCTCGTCTCTGTGAAACCTGCTGTTATTGTAATCTATCTTTCCCTGCTTCTTCTCTCAGCTCTTTGTTTTCTCAATTTGTGCTTTTCATTTCTTCTGTTTGGTTGCTGAGGAAAATTAGAAATGGGTTGTTTCTGCCCCAAAAGTGGGAAATTTTGAGGAAGGGAATAGGACCCTTTTTGGGTTGGCTTCAATTGAATTCAATTTTGATCGTTTCTTAATCTGGGTTTGACTAAACGGAGCTGTATGTATGCCTGCTTGGCTTAGTCCCATTGTATTAGTTTGTCTGGTTGAGACTTTCATCTTGTGCAAGGCAAAGCAAGATGCTTTTTTAGACCCAATTTCAAAAGTTATTAACTTTGTTAACAAATTACCACCCATTTGCTCACTGTTGTTCAACTTGTATTTGAATTGACCTATGTTCCAATTGTTCTTTTATTTCTGACAAAAGAAAATGCTGGTGAACTTCAGGTTAATATCTTTTTGTTTTTTTCCATTAACTTGGAAATCTAACAAATGTAATGATGTTTTGTTCATGAATCTGCAGAATTACTTTGCAGGATTTCACGGGGGAGCTGTTGCTGCTGTTGCTGAGGCTGTGTCCGTAGCTTGTGCTAGAACAGTCGTGGCTAAGGATAAGGAAATTTTTCTAGGGGAACTAAGCATCTCTTACCTCGCCAGCGCAAAAAAGAATGTGAGTCCTTCAGAATTAGACTTGTCTTCTTTAACTTTTGTTTTATCAAGTTTGATGCAAATGTCAAATATATTGAATGAAATGATATCAATCCCCATTAACTGTACTAAAGATTGTTTAGATGTCTTCTTTGGACATTGAATAGTATTCTAAGGCATTCTGAACGATATTGAATGACTAAAGAAAAAACTTAGGATTTAGGATTTTGTTGGCACTTAAAATTTGTAATTTGTGGACTCTGATTGTATCTTCCACTTTAGGTGATGGCACTTATGAGGGATTTGTACCTCTCTGTGCAAAGGTCTGCTTTTCTTGCCTCTTGCACATAAGATGTAGACTTCATGTACTTGGGTCATTTGCTCTTTTTGTTAATAAACTTTATTACTAATCAAAAAAGAGATTGCTCGCTTTTCTTTGAAACCATTTTCTTAAGATGCCAGTATGGAGTTGCTTTACCACAGAATTTGATACAAACTGAAATTGGCCAAAATATGTAACATACAGGCTGAGCTAAGTTTCTGAACGTTGCAGTATATTTGAAGCCTTATTATCCTCGAGTGAATTAGGCTGGTAGTAGTTTTGAACCCCAAAAGCTCTTTTTTACACAATAAGGCCCTCCCATCTTTGATACAATGCTTTCAGACTTTGACAAATATGTCCATAAATTAAACAGCTATTCAGTTTGTCATTAAATATCGGTTAGGAATTTTTCATGTAGTGTCCATTGACCAAAAAAACATTTCATGTAGTGTCCAGACTGAAGTTTCATATTAAGGTGGGATAAGCTAAATGGCAATTCGGCGTTGACCATGACATCAGAAAAGAAATATATATACTTTTCCCAGTGTTTTAATCCGAATGATTTCGAGTAGTACATAGTTTACACCCTGGATTGTATATAATTTGCTTGGTTCACATTATTCATTTCTTGTTTTTTTGACTTTGCAATGGGACTTGCTTACAGGCCGAGGTGATAGTTGATGCATCTGTTGTGCGAAGTGGAAGAAATCTGAGTGTGATAGCACTAGAGTTCAAGCTCAAGAAAACTGGGAACTTGATTTACATAGCTCGTGCCACCTTCTATCACATGCCTGCTGCGAAATTATAGATTTGGACATTAAATGTTTCTGTATTTAGGTCCACCCCAAATTCGTACCTGTACGGCTCCGTTCTATGGCATATCTTATTATCATTTTTTGTGACTGCCACTCACTGGCTCGATATATTATGACAATATGTATAGTCAATTTGAAATAAGATCCTTCAATAAGAATTGTGCATCTCATCTCATCTCGTCATATCTGGTTTAACAACTGAAAAACAGGTCCTTATTCAATGACCTTATTAGAAAATAATTGCACGTACGAATGTGTAATACGTTCAAATGGAATAGTTGGATACCCTTAATTGGTGATGAGCATTACTCCATTTCGTATTGATGGCAGTTCGAAAAGTTTAAAGGCTCGATAACCATTTCAGTTTTCATTTTCCATTTTTGTAGTATTGCTCATACATGAACTGAAATTGAAATAAGATCCACTACAATAACATCAAACTACTATGTTACTAATAACAAAGCAAGCACAAAATAACATCCAAATCAAAGGCTATAGATAAACTCTTTCTTTCTCCTATCAGGCATACGCAAAAACATGCTTGTCCAAGTAACATCTCCATGCAAAAGCTTCAAGGCTTTTGAGTAACTTTCACCATCAATATCCTCCATGTTATTCAAAATTTCCAAACATTCCATCAATTCTTCTTTCGCAACATCCCTTATAGTTGATTGAACCTCATCATTACCATACGATTTAGAATAGCCAACAAATCTTTTCTCAACTATTTCATTCCTCTTCTTTGATGTCTCAGAAACACTTGAATCATAAAAGACACCGCATGTTTTCCAGTTGCTGAATCTGAGGGAGGTTTGGTTGAGGGATGAGCATGTTTTCCGGTTGTTGTATCCCCAAATATTTTAATCAACTTCTGATAGTGGACGCATAACAACCTATAGGAAATTACATCAAATATAAAAAATAAGAATTATATATCAAAATTTTGAATATTTTAATATAAAATGTAAAGTTATTCATACCTTAGAAAGGGTTTTCCATGCATCATCTTCTAGTGTAATAGTTCCTAAAGTTGGATTCCAACCAGCTTCACTAGCATGAGTCAAAATTTTCTTAAAGTCTCTATAAGTTCGTCTCAAAAGATGGTATTTATTTTTCAGCTGGGCAACACTATAAGGGTAACCAGTCCTAGTATGAAGTTCGCTTATCATAGTTTGCCAACTAGTTTTGGAAAATATTGTTGTTGATCGGTTGCCCTTTGAAATATCCTCATCCATCAAATCAATAAAAATAACCTCATTGTTTCCAGGTCTTGGCCCATCTTTCCCCTTCTCATCATCTACATCATCTTCATCAGAAGAAAAGTTACTTGACCTTTTTTTTGGTTACATTGGAGGAAAGAAACCCCATTGGGGTTCGATCCTGGGTGCCATGGGGGGAAGGGGGAATCCACCACCACTGTGGTGGGAACCCATTGGCTTACTTGACCTTTTTAACATCTAGACAACAAAGCATAACATCACAAATTAATTATATATGTTGGAATTTTAATGAAAATAAATAATGGAGGAGTAATTGTGGCCGGCAACTAAAAACTCATTGCTCAAACATGCATTTACCAAGGAAAACGACATATCAGACACTTGTCGGTGGTTACATGATTTCCGTTGTGTTCTCAATGAGACGAGAGAAATGTTGGTACACTTTCAGTTTGTTCCACAGAGAAAGGAACAAGAGTGTCAGAGATATTTAGCGGGTGACACATACGGCATAGACGCCTTTGATTTTGAGACGTTAAAGAAGAAGACAAAGATGGCCAAACCCTCCATTGATATCTCGGAGAGCTTCGCTTCTACAGCTAAAATTTCAGGGGACATTTCTCAGAAAGATGTAAACACTGTGCTGCGATTTCTCAAAATCGTGGGGGTCTCAGGCCATGTCCCAGATCAATTCGATGCTAAAAAAGATTCCTACTCTGACCTCGTTCGTGACCTCCTCAAGCCCCTACACATCTCACGCGGCCACGTCACCTGCCTCGTCTCTGTGAAACCTGCTGTTTTTGTAATCTATCTTTCCCTGCTTCTTCTCTCAGCTCTTTGTT